CATTAATGCAGTACGATCTTGAGGGCGTAGAACGCGTCGTCTGCTATCAGTCACGTCAGCTGCAACCAGCTGAGCGGAACTATCCAGTGCATGACAAGGAACTCCTTGCCAGGAAGTATGCACTCGCGAAGTTCAGAGTCTATCTATTATGAGATAGACCCTTCATTGTTTACACCGACCATGCGTCATTACGCACGGCAGTGAACAGCCCGCACCTTTCACAACGAATGGCGCGGTAGTTGTCATTCTTTGCAGAATACAACTTTACGGTCGTGTACAAACCAGGACGACTTAATGTCGTCGCTGATGCACTCTCACGTCGTCCCGACTTTGAACCAGTCGTGAGACCCAACAGTGAGACAGTCACTGTTGCGGTTATGACATCCTCAGTCCCATCTACAACGTTGTATGATGATGTGAGGCGGGCATATGCCCAAGATGGTGAGATTGTGAGGTTGTTGACACATCTCTCCCAACCATCTCGAGAATCGTTGAAACGATTGTCGTCTGCGTATCGATCTGCATCAGATCGATACACTACTCGCGACGGTTTACTGTATTGTACAGCCGTTACTGGTGACACACCACGTGTTGTCATTCCAAATGATACTGATCTGCGTTTGCGGATCATGTTCGAGTATCACGATGCTCCTATGGGAGGACATCGTGGCCGGGAGAAAACGTAACTCACGGTGAGTCGAGACTTTTACTGGCCCCGCCAGTATCATTTTGTGCGCAAGTACGTTCGCGCATGCGAAGTCTGTCAACGAGTGAAGTCAAGTCCTTCACTGCGTGCACCTTTACAGCCTCTACCGGTTCCGGCTGAGTGCTGGGAATCCATCCCAATGGATTTTGTCTTCGGGTTACCAAAAGACGCACGCGGGAATACGGGTATTCTCGTTTTTGTTGACAGATTCAGCAAAATGGTACATCTTGTGGCTGTACCAGAGTCAATCACAGCAAGTGGCTGTGCTTGTGTCTTTATCGACACCATCTTTCGGCTTCATGGGTTGCCCCGTGAACTCGTATCAGACAGAGATCCACGCTTCACTGCTGATTTCTGGCGTCCCGTGTTCAAATCACTCGGAACGCGCTTGAACATGTCGACATCTGATCATCCAGAGTCAGATGGTCAGACGGAACGAGACAATCGTGTCCTCGAAGAGATACTTCGAGGATACGTACACTCCTTAAAGAGTTGTAGTTAGTTCTTGCCAATGGTAGAGTTTGCCGTTAAGAACTCGGTGCATGCGTCCACGACACATACACCGTTTTACGTGAATGGCTTACGCCATCCGCGTGTACCCACCTTGCTAGAGTGTGACTCTGGTTTAAGGGGGGGAGGGAATCGCGCGAGCAAAAACCAATTTGGTTCACGCTCATCACGCTCTGACGATGAGGTCATTGCGTTTGATGCCGATATCAACAACATCGATATCGAAGAAGATGATGCCAGTGAGAGCGCGGAAGCCCTCACTAAAGAAAAGATTGATGTCGCTGCAGTGCACTCACAGCGCACTGAAGCTAACGAGTCAGCAGATGAGTTCATACTGGCTCGTGAAACGGTAGTCCGTTTTGTGCAAGATTCCATCGCCGAAGCGGCGGATAGGCAAAAGCAAAACGCTGACAAGAATGGAAGGGCAAACACTCTTTTATGTAATAAAGGTGACTTAGTCCTACTGTCTACGGTTAACCTACCAAAGCATGTAGTGACTAACTTGGGTAGTAGTAAACTACTACCCAAGTACATCGGCCCATTTCGTGTATTGCACCGCCTAGGCAATGCATACACGATCGAGTTGCCACGTAAGATGCGAACGCATCCCACGTTTTACGTTGGTCGGCTTAAGCCGTACCATCAGTACGCTGCTTCTTCCGATGAAGAACGCCCTTGCGCTCAAGCATCTCGCAGAGAGCCTTGTGCTCCCGATGGTGGGCATCAACAAGGGTCTGAAGAGCAGTTATCTCAGCCCGAGACCGATCAACATTCCCACGAGCTACCCTTAGCTCGTCACGCAGAGACGACAGAGCTCTCTCATTCTCAAGCTGAGCAAAGGCAAACTCAGCTCGATGCTTCGAGACAGCGTCCGCCAGTTGGAGACGTCTGTCCCGCTCATGTTCAAGATCGCCGCGTAACCCTTGCGTTACGCGATCATAGAAGCTCTCGGGAGCACACCGATCCACATGATAGTTTGGAGAGCGTCTTCCCTCCTCCTCCATCTCCATTAGAAGGCCCCCGCGGTGGCCAGCGCTATCTGGTTGAGCAGCTGTTGAACCACCGCGACGTGAACGGACGTCGGACGAGATATCTCGTCTGGGGGCGCGGTATCCCCTGTCCTGGGATAATTGGGAGGCCCTCTCCCAACTGGTGGTTGACGTACTGGGTCTGGTTGAGCAGTACGATGCAGCACATCCTGTGCCGCAGAAGGACCGCCGGAGAAAGTCTTCCCGGCACGGTCGTAAAGGGATTTCAGGTTCTCTATACCTTCGTACATCTCACTAGAGATACGTACGCGCCACCACGGGCTTGTAAGGAGGTAAGCCTCCTTAGGTGCTCGTGCGGAGTTGTTCACACAACATGGGCACGAGTCTCCCCAGGAAAGGCAGGGTAATCCTTTCTCCCTAGACAGACGATGCAGCTTGTAGCGTGCACCTGTCGGGGTTCGCTTTTCAAACTTATCACGAGCTTTGATAAGTTTGTCGTTCCAAGCGTCACGACCTACATCCTCAAGGTTATGGATGTAGGCGTTCCACGCTTGAAGCAGTGAGGGACCATCACGTTTGTGATTCCCGCTATACCATCGATGTTTGAAGAAAGCATCGATATAGAACTCATTCTCAGCGCGATAGTTTTTCGCACTGGGATCAAGGTGATGGATCCTTGACGAATCGAACAATCGTGTTCGATAACGATCACTTGTCGGTGACGACAAGTGATCCATGACGGATTTGGGAGGCATCCACGCCTTCTTCTCGGGAGCGAGACGCAACACACTGCAGTCCCGCTCTTCTTGCGACGTGCAGACAGAAGTACTGGCACCTTGTTGCAAAGTGGTGTCAATAGGAGAACCGACACCACTGTTAGCGCCCGAGTCTCGCGACCTCGAGCGCCTTCGTTTCGGCGATGGTTCATCTGATGCATCAGATGAACCAAAGATGCTGCGACGAATAGCATCATCCATGCCACGCTTGGCAGGCGGCTTGGATTCAATCGCCGTCGATACGGATCCGTCTTCCGTATCAGGAGAGTATGAGACACCGAGCTCATACTCTGTGAAGACATGAGTGTCTTCATGACGAGCGACTGCATCACCAAGTGACACAGGCTGAGTCGCTTCATCAACCGATGACACATCAGTTGCTGTGGTTTCTGCTTCGGCTTCCGCACAGATACGTGCAGACGCGCTCTCATCGGCCTTGTTCGCGCACCGCATGGATATGTCAACCATGCGATGAACTGTTGCAAAGTGGACTCGGACCAACAAGTGAAAACCCTGTCCCAAATGATTTGGGACGAGTATCCATTTAGTCATCAAGTCACTAACGTGACTGATGGTTAAGGAAGGGGGTGATGTAACGGGGTGAATCGTTACATAACCATTTATAAGAAGTTGCTAATAGAATATAACTATCAGAGTTATTTTCTCAGAATATTGTCATAAGGACAAATATTCTGTAGCACTTACGAGTGGTTCCCAATTGGTTGGTACAGGCCATTATATCAACCAACGAAGACGCGCCACGACAGACGAACACAATGATTGGTGAGCAGATAGTTGATATGCACATTTGTATTCAGACATAGTTAGATGAGGATAAATAGTGATTTATATGCAGACATTAACTATTATAAATACAGTTCTACTTTTTACTTTAACCAAGTACTCGCTTCTTCTTACCGTCTTACTCTGCACGTACCAGTGTGCGTGAAGTCACGAGGCACCGCCTTATTCTGTCGTCAGAATAAGTAGCTTGTACTGTCATCAGTACCATCTTCAGGGTGACCCGTTACATTCACGATCTTATGTTAAATTTATCTTGTTTTTTAGAATAACCTGCATGCATAAGGGCACCTGTAGCTCTCACATAAATCCCCATAAGCTTTCGCGTTCTTCAGATCCTCATACAAAAATTAACTTTGCTCCTTGAGAAATCGTGTCTTTAATTTTTCTATGACTCTCCGGCTTCGTGATTTCTCAGCTACTGTTGTATCGCTGTTCATATTGCCGCTACCTTTTTCGTAGTGCAGGAGCTAGTTCTGACGCAATCGCTAATATTCTGGAGTGGGGTACACAGCTCCGTAAGTCAGAGGAAGACTTGACGCTCAACGAGCAACTTAGTTCTAAAGAATTAATCTCAACGAGTCAACAAGCGTAAATCTTATGGTCCTTGTTCCAGGGGACCAAACGATTCAATGGATCGACAGCACTTAGTGCTTAAGAGCAACTAGCTACCTCAGGGAGGTGTTACTTATACTTAGTGATCAGCGATCAACGACCAAAGACGCCTCGCAAGGCACGTGTCTTTAAGATCAAAAGAAGAACTGAAATTTATTTACTTTTACACCTATAGAAAATCTTAGCCTAAATTAGTACAACTAAGATCTCTCCTATCTAGTGGCTGACACCAGTCAGCCCCTATAAACCGTTAAGATATTCTATATCTCTTTCAGTGGGATATCACCCGTGTGTCTAAGCCACAGGGTACCAGGTACCCAACTACGTGTGACTTCATGCAACTGCGATCCTTCACGCTCATACTTTATACCTCGCCCGGCAACTGGTTTAATCCTATATGTCCGCTCAGTTCCTATAGCTTTTCACGCATCATCTAGTTCTTTCTATCTCAGCAGACTACTCCGTATCCCATGTTTTGATTGGCCGTTTCACGCTTGTAGGCTATCTATCCACTTTATTTTAGGCAAGTTGCTTGGTTTTGTCGGATCCCCCGATAGTTTAACCAAATTAAACGTGTCCTACGGCATCACCAACGGTAATCGAATGATGGAGCGTCTCCCTCCTCCCCTCTTATCGTCTCTCCTGGCTTTTGCGGTGAGCGACTATCATGAAGAGATGACCCCTTACAAGCGCACGCTCCCACTCGAAAGACTCCTGCCGCTCGCACTGGTCTGCAAGTGCTGGCGCCACCTCATCCTTGACGTGATCGCTCGGTTTCAGGCGTCCACTTTCACTCTTCGCTTTTCATCTGGCACTCGTGCCGAAATTTGTGAAATGCGTCGGCACATTTCCCAACGAGGACCCCTGATTTTAGACTTGACTATCCAGATGGGGGCTATGCCATCTCGTGGAGAGGAGGACTACTATTTCAGTACATTGGTCCCGTCATCAACTTGGCTTGTAAAGGAGTTTCAGATGGATTGGGACGTTGTGTTTGCTCGTCTGCCAGCTCTCCAGAGACTCCATTTATCAGGAAATAGGTTAACAAGTAAACAAGTGGAACGAATTCTAAAAAGTGCAGCAATGTACTGCAAACATGTCGAGGCAGTCGTGCTCGCTGAAGCAAATGTCATGCTGCAAGGACGACTGGGATTTGAATTTATTTCTGATGCGCTGTGCGCTGCTATGAAGACGTGGTTCTCTAGTGGAGCTCAAAAAGGATTGAAGCAATTGACGGTCCCAATGCTAAACGACAAGAATTGTTTCCAGTCGTCGAAGCAACTGGTTGACAGCTTGGTGAAGTTTTGCCCACTAGTGGAGTACGTGGATGGATATAAGGCAACGCTTAATGATATGAACGGATTGACGTGTGGGGATACGTGGCTTGTAACGGTCGAGCAGTGGGACAAGTTTAATTGGACGTGCACAGAACTGCGGGAATTCCATTGGGTAGTCGTGCCATTTGCCGATCCGTACTTTAGGGTTTTTGGGGAGCACGGTAAGCCACGTTTGACGAAACTCACATTGGCTGTCAATACGCTCTGGGATTGGCAAGCCTATTTCCACTTTGTGGAGAAAGCTACGGAACCCAGCGTGCTCTCCTCCCAAAACGAGGAAGACCCGGTGGATGAAGCTGCTGGATTTGTTGCATCTTCCTCTTCTTATGTATATCAACAAAATTTTTTGCAGCGACCGGGGTATGGAGCCAAAGCATTCGATGTCAGCAGTGCTCTCAAGGGCTGCCCAGCATTGACTGTTTTAGAAATTCCACTATGTCACTCGGGTGATATAGACGAAACGGTGTACAGTGACCCATATGATGATAGTGACGATGCTGCTGACATGGGGCGTGTTCTCCTCAATATCGACATTTACAACGATGAGTTTTGTGCGGCAGTGGCAGAGTATTGTCCACTGCTGACGAGCTTCTCGATCACGGAAATTGATGACGGGCTGCGTAGCCACCTCACCCCAATTCGTACGTTTACAGACCAAGGTCTCGTGAGTCTTGCAAAATTGAAATACTTGACTACAATGCTGCTGCGTCCGATCAACTGCACGGGAAATGGTGTTTTTGAGTTCCTTAATAGTCTGTCGAACGAGTTTGTGGGGCAGCGAACGTTTCAGGTCTACATTGGTGGACATTCCAGCGAATCCAAGCTAGCATTCTACACCGCGCTAATGGAATTATTGATGCAGTTGAAAGTAAGAAGCCCAGCAGAGCTTGCGTGGGATAATCGCAAGTTTGTCCTTCGCTTGATAAATTCCAACTTTGAATCGGTTGAGCCTAGTTGGGGCGAACAGTATTTTCATGACCTCGAGCGTGCGGTGACGAGCGTAAAAACGATACATCCGACCTTGCGCTTACGCATTGCGACTTCTGGACGTCGTGGCTTTATTTTCCAAAGAATAATGGAACTCGGGCTGTACACGGCAAATGCCGATCCTAGCCCATGGTACGGTTGGGATGACGAAGAACGAAACGGCAACGCTTCATTTGTAAATCGATACGAAGAGACAACAGGTTTGGGTAGAGGTCTAGACAGTCTACCTCTTGAACTGCGACACCCTGAGCTTCTGGACCCAGACTCTCTCCCTATCGATTACGAGCTTCCGGCCGACTATTTTGACGACTATGGTGGCTACGGCGACTATGGCGATTATGGTGACTACGAGGATTATGGTGCCTATGGAGACGATTACTTCGGTGAGGAATACGACGGGTATTACGATGGAAACGCAGACGAGCTATGGGAATAGCGCCCATCACGAGATGATCAACGTTGACCGGTTTATAGGTTCCAAGCTTCGTGCCTGCTGAGTGGCTAGTGCTCGTCTTGTTCGTCTTTTTCCGTGAACGTTGTGCAACCGAGTAAGGTGCCTTATGGTACAGCTGCGCTACATCACGATGGTTTTGTCGTTGAGGTACCTTATGCTGGACAATCATTGCATGCTCACTAGCTTCGGCATGGTAGAGAACTATCTTGAAAACAAAAAGTGTATTCATGATAGCCGTCCAGCGATAGTCTGGTAAGCGCGAGCATGTGAGCGTAGAACTCGCTGTGCCCAGTAACGAAAACATGCTGCGATTTCTACGGACTTTGTTGAGAATGTTCAGTACTCTGCAACGTGTGCGATGTTGCGTTGCATTGAAGAATGAGCAGGCACGACGATAGAAGAGCCTTTGAAGAACATGTACCATTGCTTGATACGACTTTGACACCAAACCAGCTGTTGGTGAATTCATCCTCGAGCCGATCGTACTTGTATCACAGAAGCAACGGCTCCTGTGGAGGCCACAGTCATTTGGGAAGACGAGGTTGATTTGTTGCCGGACAGCTGATGTAAGACCGAATTGCTGTTCGAAGACTACATAACATCCGATTGCTCAACCGACGTCGACATCTACTTGCCATAAAGATGGAACCCCTACGATCGGCAAGTGCAGACGAACGTACAGGCGTGCCTCTTGATAAGAACGAGCTCCCTGAAATAGTGTCAGGTGTCAGGAGCCCATGGTACCGGGAGGATGCTACCAAAGTAACGTGTCAGAGTATGGATGCGGCCATGGATTCCTTCTCAAAAACACAACGATCCTTCAGAATTTTTAAAGTCGACCACTACGGTCCCGGCATAGTCGAGATCGCCCAATCTAACGAACCTTTGGGGCCCAGCGTGCAAGCAGCTTTTGAAGTGTGATACGAAGACCCAAGCTTGGGCCAATTCAGTTGCAGGATTCGACATGAAACGATTAACATTAACAGCAGGACTGGGGTGTGGATCACGAAGCTTCGTGTGTCAATTGTTGTGTCAACAAAAAGCAATCAAAGCCGTCTTGAATTGGCATGATGTGTAGTCGCATATGAACGAAGTAATCAGTGTGAAGAGGTGGTGCTGATGACGTTGCTAATATACGCAATTCCTTGTTCGGAACGGTGTGATCTGCATCAGAAAAGTCGGGACAAGCAGCTTAAGAACTGACACGTGAGAATTGGGAGTCCATGCGATGCATTTCGAACCTCTCTCGAAGATCAGGTGGTATTTGCAAGTTGCACTGAAGTGAACGAGAACGAGCTCGCTTATTTGGAAACGAAGCACGAAGAAGATGAAGACCAAGTTGCGGATTTTCGAGAGGCACTCGCGTCCATATTAAACCGCTCACACGGTAAAGGGTAAACTTTGTCGACCTAGCAAAAAGTCACGAATAGTGGATCAGAGAGATTGCGTCCACCATATACGATTCAAGGAGACACGGCTTCTACCAGTGAGCCCACTAGTCAAAATGATGGAAATGTGAACTTAGCGGACCTGAGGTTGTGAATCGACGTGTCATCGTCAACGCTTGTAGATCCGTGAGTACTCCCGCTTCATGCAAGAAGGACTGAATGTAAGCTGTTGCTGGGACAAATGTCGTGATTGCAGGTCGATTAAATCTCGAAATCCGCAGTTCCGGTGCTGCGATACGAATTCAAGACCCAGCACGAGCGATGCCACAATGCCAAGTGCGCCTCAATTAGTCGAAGAGGACTGAAATGTATGCGATAGGACCTGGTCATTGCGATTGAATGATCAAGATCGTCCGTCTCAAATCAAACAATTGAGGTGAGATTGGTGATCAAAACGGGTCTCGATTTTTTGCCAGCTGTGGGGCGTGGTCCAGAGGTACCATTGTGGTCATTCTAGCAAGCTCCAAGAATCGGCACTTCGTTATTGTAGTGACTGTTATGGCATATGCGGAAGCATTTACGAAGCAAGGCACCTTCGATAGACCACAGCACAAGCTACTATGATATATGGACACCATGTGATAGTGAGGAGGAACTTCAGCGCGGAAGATCTTCGGCATTGAATGCATCTGTTCACGATGCCCGCAAGATAAGCTCGGCGAGACTGGACGTGCATCATGTTGCTCTTCTCGATGAAGACATTGCGATTCTTAACAACTGTCCTGGTGCTGACGATACTAAGGAACGCAAATGGCAAGGAAGCGCCTCGTCCACGCAGTTGTTGATTACGGGCGCTGATGGTGCCAGTCAGACCGTGTCACCTAACAATTAGCTCACAGAAAATATGTGGACAGGAGCGACCGCGGCTTCAGCGATTGTCGTTGTTGTTTACGCTGAATGGAACTTGAGTCCAGCTGAATGACGACGTTTGATCGACGCCTCAGCAGAACATGCACCTGGACACAAAATCAGAACGAAAATAGGCCGACGTCAGCGAGCAGTTCTGCCCCAGGTATGTCGCAGTCCACAACGAATCGGCAAGCTCAGCAAATTGTCGCAGTCTCATTTATTCGGGTGGCACATAGACGCAAAAAAGAATAACACCTCGCTCCACTAGACTTTCCACGCCCACCACTAGACGCTTCAAACGCTGTGTAGCTTGAGTTCAACTCCGTCATCGCCGACGGCGGAATTCATCTCGTCCTGACCGGATGGAGCAGAGGGTGACAAAGTACCCAGCGGAGAACTGTGCAGTGCATTGGACTTCGGCGTGAACTCAAATGTGGTCTCCTTCGACCCATTCTCTTGCGTATTCTCCTCCGTCGGCATCTTTCCCTTCAAGTACATGTAGTCGTTGTATGCATTACGATACTTGCGATGTACAATGAGGATCACCATCATCAGGAGCAAAACAACAAATCCCACGATAACGACTGCTGCGTAAACCGAGTAGAGGGCCGTCGTGTCAAGCACCACTGCGCTTTCCGTGCACGCGGAGATCGAATCGGTGCTCTCCAATTTGGAACCGCCGTAACACGCTAGCTTGCGAGCATACGAGACCAACTGTTCACCACCACTACACGCCGAGCGGAGTTCGTGGAAGTAGTCACCATCGCAAATGGGGCAAGCGTACGCAGTTCTCCAGACAATGTTCCAGTTGCACTGATCATCGTCCTTTAATGCTGACGTCGGTTCGTTTGTCGTGCCTACCATGTCAGACAGACGAAGCAAATGTGTCAGCAGTATCATCTTGCGTTCAAACGTCGAACTGCTGAGCTTACCGCTGCTAAGATCACACACAAAATTGAACGTTGTAGACATCGTCTTGCCATTACCACACGGTGACCCACCCGTTAACAAAACCTTCACACCAGAACCTGATTCCAATGGCAAAATGTCCATGTGGCTTCCGCCATTTACAAGTTTCCATTGCTGCAACAGTCAAACGCTCGAATAAGGTACCCGAACAAAGAGCAACGACCTCCGATACACACGTACCGCTGGAGCTGAGCACATGACGTTACCGTACACCCCGCTATTTTGCTGATAGAAGTTGCCAGCTTCACGTGGATTTGTCATACTTGCAAGAACCACGTAGGCCACTTCGCTGCTTGTATCCACTCGTTGGTCCACAACCTGACCCGGTACCTGCTGCAACCAGCTAATTCCGAGGGGACGAAAAATACCAGCAAACCAGTAATTTTGGCTGTCCGCTTGAACAACCAACGTTGACTCAACAGGTTTCGTCGACTGCAAACTAGTCGCATTACCGTAAACTGTGTCGTCCAATATCCAGCTCCTATTGCCCCATGCAAGCCCTTCCAATAGTGACAAATTGTACGTCACCTGTAAGCCATCAAGCGCTGACGCCACACCGTCGGATGATGATGAGGAGAAGGAGGACGTAATCGTCTCCGAAGACGCACTAGCGTTTAGCGTCAGCACCTGAGGAGCAGCGCAAGCCGCTGCACCGGGTCTACTGTGCGTATTCGTACCACATGGAGTACACTTTGCTGAACCCTCTCTAGAGTACCAGTTTGCTGGGCATTTAACGCATGCGACAATCCCTGACGACTTGGCAGTTTTACTGAACGTGCCAGCAGGACAAATACGACAGCCCTGAATTTCTTGATCGTCGTCCGGAAGTGTTTGTTCGTATCCTGAGGGGCATCTATCGCAGCTCACACCGGCGCCTTCTTGAGTTCCCGTGAATCCTAAATACAATAACTTTGCTTCTATTGCGCGCTTCGCCTTCGCACTGGTGGCCCGCACCACAAAAGTAAACTATTTTTGAATCAAACCTGTGACGTTGACGGGGACGATTTCGTTGAAGGTGCCATTTTCGCTACCATGCAGCAAGTGAATGAAGCTTTCGACTTCTTCCGTTCTGCTACCACCGCCGCTGTTATCATCGCTATGGGGTGAGCTTAGATTATTCAAATCCTTTTTAGATTTTTTCAAACCGTCACCGACGTCGCGAATTTCGAGCTCAACCCACGCACGGGATCCATCGTTTGCAAACGTGGGAACACCGCTCAACTGGTAAGTTAAATTCAGTGAGCCGGAATGGATAAAGGCTACCTTAAACGACAGTGCCGAACGGCTTGGCTGGCTCGAAAATCCGGCACCTTCTTCATCTTCCGTGTGCTGAGCAAATCGTACGCCGCTCTTTGAGAGCTCCCACCCTGCATACTGAGCTTGCTCAGCATCAAAAATGTCAGGCCAGGAATTCCACGCGTCCGGTGTTCCCACGCCATACTCCAGTGCGTTGACAACAACCGTACCAAGAGGACAATTCTCGCATTTGCCGGGGGATATCATTGCGTGTCCAGCAGCGCAAGCAATACACTGGTCTCCTCCTGCAGGTTTGTAGCCCCGTGCGCAGCTAGCGCATTGGACGCCCTCTGACGGAAGCGGGAGCTCATTACTTTCCTGTAATGTCAAATTGCACGTCTGCGGCTCCATCCACGCGTACGTGACGTTCCGTACACCATCCTTGCACGTAGTATATGTCTCATTCACATCATCGGTTGAACACGGACGCTGCTCGACACAAGACGAAATACCGATTGACCCTTTCGGAGCGTACGTATTTGGTGGACACGTGTTACTTGTAACATCCAGCTCACTATTGGACTTTGCAGCTGCATACTCATTGGGACCACAGAAGGCACAAAGAGAACCTCCACCATTTGTCGTATCTCCACCACAACTATGACAGTGCAGATCCGACCAGGCCGTGCCCACCAGTTCAATCACCTTGAGGTAAGCCTTGTCTTCTCCAGCATCTCCCGAATAGTCCTTCATATAGTTCCACACTAAAGTGTGTGCCCCAGCTGGCACCTGCATTACGGCTTCTTTCCACCCATTTGAATGTGACACCAGCTCAGAACCAGGATCGTCGTCAATTTGAAACAACAAGCCATCGTACGGCGCTTCAGCATCCACACGATACTTGTACGTGACGGACCCGTTCCGCACAAAAAGCGCGCTGACTCGCAGCGTCGAGAATAGTCTCGTGCCTTGGAAACTCTCCATAACTCTAGAGTTGACCCCTGACGAGATGTAGGAACCATCGGCTGACGGTTCCCATGGATTGCAATTATGCTCCCAGCGACCCGTAAACATGTTTCGAGTCACGCAATCAGACTGCAGCTCAGCAGACAGCGGTAAACTCCACGCATTCGTCCGCTGGGAGAAAAGTGCCCCTCCACCGAGTGAGTACTTTCCCTGAGGACATCGTTCACATCCAGACACAGGCACGGGCCCTGAAAAGCTACAAACCAAATCAAGTCACAATGATATACAGTATTCGAAATGTCTGGGCGAATAATCATTGTAGTAAGCACATGAAAACGTACTTAGCACCAAGGAAGTACCCCTGACCACAACGGACATCGCAGCGCAGTCCATGAACAGGCGCTTTAATTTAACACCAAAAAATCATCGGACATCAAAACGCACTTAGTCAAATGAATCCACTTGAGAACGTAAGGTTTCGTCCAGCTCCTTACGTTTAGCGAGCACTTGACCGGTCGAGTTGGCAAAGCACGTGCCGTCGCTCGTTGAATAGTAAAAGAGCGTGCGCTCGTTATCGACGCAGTTACTGAAGCCGTACTGGAGATCGAGACTAGTTGCTAGCGTCCAATAAGCCGCCCACGCTCCTGCCGCGTGCCACGTCGCCGTTCGCATCGCTCGCTCTCGAATGATGTGTTTGACAGGCGTACATGTACTTAAGGAGTGGACACAACTTACACACAAAACTATGCTAAGTACGCAGATTGTGCTGATCACCCCGGCGACCACTCGAAAAAAAAGACCAGCAAATTTAGTCAGTACAAGTTGCTGGACCTGCTATTAGATTGCGTCGAATGAAGTTGCGACGAGGAACGTGTTTTCCATACACATGCTGTTTTCGTTGCTTAGTAATGGCGTAGCAAATCGATTTCCTGCTCACTGAATGCGGTGCTGATGCAACAGCCACTTGAGTCTTCCCAGAATGACTTACCGGCCACGTCCACTATCTCGATTTTCATACTGTCATTTATTTTATCAGTAGAAACTGACGAACCACAATTACCAAATGCTCACATGTAGCAGCTTGGAAGACACATTTGTTTTCGTTGATTGGTCCAGCGCTCACATCGTTCCATTACCGCAGATTTTTTCGCAGTTTGCATATTATCGGAAGCCGCAGGAAGCTTCGCCGGGGGAGATGCCATCGTGTTTGGGGCTCAAGACTCCAGAACACCGAAGCGTTGCGACAATTGGTCAGTCGAAAGCCGGCCGAGTTTATGGCCAAGGCAAAACGTGTTTTATAAATCGACAAATGCGTGTACTGTTGATAGTCGCGAACGCGCACCAACAGACTGCGTTAGCTGATTCATACAGCTCAATCAAGATGACTTTCCGACGTGCTGCAAGTGTGATTTATCGTGAAAGACCTGTATTCTGTTCAGATGAAGAGCAACGCCTGGCCACATTTATCAACTTGCTGTCCCTCCTGTGTACATATGTGGGCTCCTTCACCTATGCGACGAAGCAAACTTTTTTCATTGAAGGGAAACTTACTGCATTAGTCGCAGCAGTATTTTCGCTTCCATCCATCCCACAACTAGCAGTATAGGGCACCCGAAGCTTCCATCTATTGCCACGACCGCTCCATTTTCATAGCGGTTTTTTTATGTGTTTCGGCAGCGAATAAAGCATACCGTACATTTTGACCAAGCAATTGTCTCCTTGCTGTGTTCTTCCATGTCATAGCCTCATCGGCCAGCAAGTCGCAAGCTGTCCAGTTCATGTGTTATTTGTAACGACTACAATATCGGTTCGAGTGTCCACCGAAAAGCGATCTATGATGATCGATCGTAGTACCAGACTATCAATGGTGGGTCGTGCGATTAACCCTTGGATCGCCAAGTCGCTGACTTTTTAATCTGATGGATGTCAATCCACAGAGACGCATACTGTACAGCCCGAATGCACAGTTAGTTTATCGAATGGTACTCAATGTTATCAACACATATACGGCTATTCTAAACGAAGACATGACGTGAGTCATAATTGCAAGATATCGTCCGGTGAAATAGGGGCATACTTCTGTGTGCGTACATTGACACGATTAGAATCGTCAAATTGCCTTTGTCGAGTAGTCGCCGCATGCATTGTTTTATTCTCGGCTCACTGACTCGTTTTTATGGCTCATAAATGCACGGACATAAATTGTGGTGAGCAGGTTGTCGTCATACGACAATGTAGATTAATATAGTTAGATAAAGATTGAAGTTACATGGATAGCTTGACCATATTAAATACAGTTCTCTTTTTACCCTTTACTCAAACTATCTGTTTGAGTAGATTAGCTTCCTATGCACGTACTAGTGTACCTGAAATTTCGTGGCACCCCAAACAAAGGGTGCCCCGTTACTCCTGGTAGCAATTTGTAATCCGTCCAACGACTACTTAGTCTTTGTTCAACAGATACACGTTATACGTAGAAGACGAAAGCTTTTCACTTCTCACTTGAAGGATACTCCCATCTGAGTGACTCAGTATGGGAGGTGGTCGGCCGCATGAGTGTGCTAATGGGCAAACCCGCCATCAGTGGCATGTTGGAGTCCCTAAGCAGAGGCCAGCGAGATGCTGCGATCAACACGTTCCTACAGGGGGAACTTGCCGTCGAAAGACAGAAGATAGCCTTGCTACAACAGCTAGGCTCTCATCAGTCGATGGGCGGACCGACGCACATGCGTCGACCCAAAACCTTGAAGATTGAAATCTCAAGCTACAAGGGAAACGATGAAGATTCCCTTTTGAGATGGTACGTCAAGTTTGACGACGCCATCAGGGCCCATCATACGAGGGTGACGAGATAAAAGTCACCTTCTCCCTGTCAAACTTGACAGGACGAGAAAAAACTTGGGCCTTAGGGCTCAAACTTCACGACCCAAACGTGTTTGAGTCGTTAGAGATCTTGAAGTCTGTGCTCAAAGAAACGTTTGAGCCGCCAAGAGCCGATTTCAGAGCACTCTCTGCACTCCTGAGGCTCAAACAAGGTGAGCGTGATTTACACTCTTATGCACAACACCTACGCTACCTCGCGAGTAGCGTCACGGAAAATCCAGTTGTTGAGCACACGCTCAGCAACGTGTCCATTTACGGACTTGTAGATGGAACGATGAAGGCCTACATGTTCCAAGAGGACTTCCATACGCTGGAAAAGGCGATAGCGTATAAGGAACAAGAAGACTTACTCCTAAGAAAATCTCAGGCTAACGCGTCAAAATATCGTCCAACGAGACGAAAGAAAATTGTAGCATCCAACAAACGGACCTCTGCTACATCAAAATTGATTGGCAAGATGCCATCGCTTTTAGAATATCGGGTACTACGCTCATGAGCGTAGCGTCTCGAGCTCTGCAACACGTCCAGAGACAGGACGTGATGAACACCGTTGGCCAAGATAAGGTCCAAAGCGTGGGTCCAACCATGTCGCTAAGCCGCGACAGAAAGTCGATCCACCGAAAAATTGGACAGGGTCAGTAGGGGCTGAGCACCCTGCTAATCTAGCAACGCCAAGAGAATTTGCAGGATTCTTGACGAAGATTGCCCCAACACACAGTCGTTGTGTGTTACTGCCCTTAAGGATGAGGTGTCCCTCATCACTTTAAAGATCGAAGTGACAAATGGAATGTCACTTCGCGCCCTAGTTGACTGTGGGGCGTCGAACAGTTTTATTCGACGTCAGTCGCTAAGAGATAGTAGGCTCAACTATGTTGAGCAAGAGTTCCCTCCAACGAGAATGACGGTGTGCCTTGCTACAGGCGCATCCGTAACAGTGAACAAACTTGCAGTGCGAATCCTCTACACGCTAGAATGAAGGCAGTACGATGATGACTTTGTCGTATTGGATTTGGATGACAAATTTGATGTCATCCTCGGTCTGCCATGGCTTAGAATACACCATCCATGGATCAGCTGGCAGCATCGATCCGTGAAGATGCCTGTCGTTTATTCATCAGATGGTCATCTGATGAACTTCTTGAAGCGTCCACAAGCGTGTGGATGTACTACGAGTGAGTGCGATGGCCTCACTTGTGGTACGGTCGTTATTACGATTGCACTAGATCACAGTGTAGAAGGCCACTACACTGTAAAACCAGCTTCCGGAACCTGTGTAGAGACACAGGCTGCGTCGAAGGTTCACCACTCGAAGAGTTTGAGTGGACTGGAACACGGATGCACACCAAGAATGGTGCATTTAAGAAGAGAGATTAGTGTTGTTCAGGATGAACAACACGTAAAGGGAGATCGGCTATCAGAGAGTCGATCGTAGAGCAATCCCGATCGACTGAAAGAGAGTCGATCGAAGAGGACGTGACTGCGGTAGCACACACACAGTCAGTACACGTATTGGAAGAGAGTTCTAGTGTTTCTGAAATTAATAGCTCACGAGAGAGTTATGATGAGGGTGTGGATCTCCAACCACCTGTGGATGTGTTTTTCCTAGGAAAATACCGAGACGGTGAATGTATTGGTGAATGAAGGATCAAGTGTAGGCGCTTATACACTTGATCTGGTTACACACCCGAAGTCAGCGTCGGAGGTCATCAAGTTGCCAACGCTAGAATCTAAAAGGTTTTGCAATATCTGCGTAGTGAAAAGATCAAGCAGATCTGCGTACTCGTCTCAGAGGACGAGTACGTCGCCGATATTCGGTCGGCACAAGTGCTTTCTGAGAACGAACGGGTTCTCAGTAGCTCATCGGTATGCGAGAGTGTCCTTAGTGAAAAGACCCGGATTAAGCGATGCACGTCTTAATCTTGGGAATCTTTGCAGACAAATCCTTTGTATAAGGATTTGGTAGAATTCAGGGATGTTTCCCTGAATCCGTGCCATGCGAGCTGCCCAAGGACAAAGACACTTGGCATGAGATCGAACTAAAACCTGGTTAGAAAAACTGTGTTATGGAGCAGAGGTATCTGCCTCGTGAACAGGTCACAGCGATCGACAAATACGTTGCCGATCGTTTAGCGGATGGTCATGTGAGGGAGTCAACATCCCCACAGAGCTCTCTGTCCTCCTGTGTGGGGAAGGCCACAGGAGGGTGGAGGATAGTGCACGCGTTCAACAAGTTAAACTCTGCAACGGTACCGACTCAAACGCCGATACCGAGAAAAGACATCATCATAGATGGTTTGGCAAAAAGTACCATCTTTTTGTCCATGGATTTGATGGATGGATTCTATCAGATCCTCATGCGTGAAAGGGACATCCCGTACACAGCAGTGAGCACCCTTAGTGGTATACTCTAGGAGTTTCTAGTGATGCCACAGGGGTTAAGTAACTCCCCCGCAGCGTTAAACAGATGTGTTACGACTCTGTTGCGATCAGTGCGCGGTTACGCACCGAGCTACTTTGACGATGCCTCCGTCCATAGCCGGGCTATGGATGGAAAGACAGACGTGGAGGTTCATAGAATCCGACGTTTGGAAGGTTCTTACACTGATGCGAGAACATAAGTTGTTCGCGAACCTCAAGAAGTACGTATTCGCAGCGAACGAAATACCAATTCTTAACTGCATTTGGATAAATACGGTGAACGCCCTAATCCAGAAAAGATCAAAGAGATTAGCTACTGGCCTGTGCCAGTCGACGTCAAGGGACTTCGAAAGTTCCTTGGCTTGGCGGCG